CCTGGAACCACATTGAGTTTGATAAGCAAATTTATTGTCTGACCATATTCAGTTTGGTAAACAAATTCATTGTCTGATACAAAATAATGCTTTCATAGTGATTGGGACCATGACTAAAACTACATTTCCTGGGGCTTTTGTTTCAGTTTCTGGTTAATTTGCACCTGAGTATTTGTAGGCAGCCATGCATAGCCCGAGGTTACAAGACGTTAAAGCCTATTTAGTTTCCTTTAAGTCATCTCTGTAAGCTAACTTTGCTGACAGGAATTGGTGAGGGTTACAGGAATTTTATCTAGCAAACATCAAGAAACAGCCACTAGTTACTAAACAACTTAGAACAGTGGTAAGTATATATTTTTACACAACAGAAAACACAAGATTTACATTTATAATCTAAAATGTAAGTTGATACATTACATTCTCCACTGGTTTTATCTGGGAATCAAATAACTGATTCAGCTAAAACCCCAAGTTGTTATAACTATCCCAGGAGCATGAGGAGTTTGTAGGTAGATCTCAGCAAAATTAATTTGATGGTCCAGAGGTTTTTTTGTTTGTTTGTTTTTGTTTTTAACATACTCAGTTAAACAGTTTATAAAACACGGTCCAATAGAGCCAAGAGAAAAAGGAGAACAGGTACAATTGAAGCAGGTATAAGGAGGCATTGAGAATTGTCTCTAATTTTTTTTTACAAATCTCTAGAGCCAGTTTTTCTCTTTGGCTATATTACACACCAAATGTTTTATATGTTGTTCTGTTTTTTCACCAAAGAAGAGATTTTTTTTTAACAACACTAATCAAAGCAGATGTTTAAATCTCTCAGGTCTTATGCACTCATGACCCTTTGTGGTGATGTTGTGTCAAATTATTTTGACATGAAGTCACCACTGCTAGTCTATTCAGACAGAAAGGACTGCTAGTTAACAACAGAGTCTGAGTAGGTAGGTTTTTCTAGAACCCATGTCTCCACTGGTTTTCATGCCACCTCTTAAGCTGTAACATCAGCCAGGCAGTTTCCTCTTTTGTCTTGAGGTCTGGTCCTCAGTGGGCAGCATCCGTCTCTCTCAAGCTGTAAAGTCACCTTATCTTTAACCTTGTCTCCTTGAGGGCCTATTCCTGTCTGACTGCCTATAATATTTTTAATCTAATTCAGCTGCCTGCATCATTTTCCCTCTGAAGAAGTAACCCAGACTGCCATGAGGGTGTATGGGTGATGACCGCTTTAGATTCTTCAATGCTGAATGGGGTCGTAGTTGTTGACTGGCAGTCAGAGATACTCTCCAGAGGTTTTATCTAAGGGCCCTCAATAGACACCAAGCATTTTTATCTTGGGTAGGTGGAATGGCTTTAAATCTGGATGAGGCAAAGCAAAAAAAAACAAAAAAAAACAATTAAACATAACACTAGTCAGAAAATTTTGTAGATCCATTAGCAGATATTGGGGTTTAATCTCTTAATCTTCTATGGTCATTGGGTACTGGGGCATATGAATTGCCAGACCTATGGAAAACACTCAGTACTTTCTGGTTGACAAGTGCGGCCACTGTCTGGATAATTGACAAATCTGCATGAGCATCTATTATAAGTTTAACAGGCTTTCTCCTAATATTGGCTGTTAACATGGGTTTCCTCAGGCTGAGAGGGGAAGATCTATGACCACTTCAATCTGAAACTTCCTCTGACTCCATCATGAACACTTTCTTTTTTTCTTCTGTGGCAGCTTTGGACATTTTTTGCTTGAAATGTCCCTTCTCTCTGTCTGGGTACAGGGAAGTGTAACTTTTTCCTTTTTTCTGGCTAGCCTTCTTTTCTGTAGGCTGCTAGTATCTGTTATAACCTGTGCAATTCATTCCAATTTTGTAATTATATGTTTCCACTGTAACTTTATTAACAAGGACTATTTAGCATAAGCTGACAACTTAAACTCCATCTTATAACAAGCTTTGTAACTTCCATTTTGTAAATCCTTGATTTGTTTTGTAAAACACCACCACCATACCTTCCATGAAGAATGTGACTGTGCAAATAAGAGAATGTTCCTCAACATTCTACAAAATGAGTTAAACTACCCTTCCTACACGAACAAAGATAACACCTGAAAATTGGCAAAATGGTCATCAGATGTCATTCTAAATAATGAGATAAAAACAATGCCTAAGCCAAGTAAAACATATTCCTGTAGGGTTTACAAAATGTGACCTCATGTATGGGAACAAAAAATTAACCCTCAGTCATAACTGACTCAAAGTAAGCTTTGTAAAATCCCCCCTCCTCCCTCTATTCTTGTGTTTTTTTCCCTTTAAAAACTGTGCCTCACCTAGACTAAGCATGGACCTACTTGGAGACAACAGTACATGCTGCCGCTGAGCTCAGCTAAATAAAGGGCTTTCTTGCTTTTTCAGTTTGAGTCTGATTTTCTATTTTTGGGTTACAACAGTATCAGCACTCTCATTTTCCATCTATAATTCTATTCTGTATCCTTTTACTATAAAACACTTCAACTCAAACAAATTCATTCCTGCAAAACATTCTAACTTCTGCAGCTTGTGTCAGATATCTGGGGTCCACTGAGTAAGGTACAACTTCTTGGTTTTAAGGCTTTCTGCAGGTAGGCCTGTATAAGGAACATGAAGATAGTTTTCCTTGTAATGAGACAGGAAACCCAGAGAAGACTCAGATTATCTGGGCTCTATCAGGTGGACAATTAGTCTAGGCTTTAATATTGTCTCTATAGACAAAATCTGGTGGATCCCAATAAAAGGAATCTTAATCTCGCATATTTGTTAACAGATTTAACCTGCGTGATTACTTGGGTTTTGGTATCTTCTAGGACAAAACAAATTTTCTGAGGAATTACAGCATGTACAATTAAAGCACAAGCATTTGAGCTAAAAGGTAAATGTACAAATTTTGAGGCTAGCAATCATAACCTGCTAGCTTTTAGACCCCTTTATTTATGGAGTCTGACAGTTTGTTATAAGTCCCTCTAGCTCTACTTATAAATATCTCTAAATTTAGAGAATGTATGAAAACCAGATTAATACCTTATTTTTTACTGTTAATGTTTTTAAGTAATTTAAGTACAGCTTGGTATATTTTTCTAGTTACACCTGTGTTTACCATCAGCATAAAATACCCGAGTTATATCAGAAATCAACCAGGCTAACTTAATAAACTTACCATGAAATACACACTATTCAGTCAGATAAAACCAATGTCCCATTCAATTTTGGATATGGCCCCTATTGTAAGCAAGGGGCACTATAGAGGGATTTATCCTTTTAACACTGGCCCTGAATTTTATTTTCAAAAAACAAGGCCTGGCTCTATCTATAGACCCAAAGCTATTTGACACTGTGTAGCCACTGTCTCTTGAACTTTTTTACATTGACAGGATTACATCTATACATGAATGATATATCTCAATTACAGTGAAAACAAGATCACAATGACTGGAATGAAGGTCAGGGTTGGAGAAGACAAAGAGACCTGTGCCAATGTCCAGCAACAGGCTGGGGTTTTTCTTTTAGTCATGATTACTCAGGGCTCCTCCATGGAGATAACAGGTAGAGGTAACAATCCAGCCAGAGGGAGGAGGCAGGCCCAGTGCTGTTTAGTCTTATTAGACTATCTGGAAAGCTAAGTCTGAGCTCTGGGACCTCCACCTCAGAGTGTAGTCTCACTTTTAGTGGCTGCCTTAGCAGTCAGGGCATGGCTTATGGGCCTCTTAAAGCATTCCCTCTTACAGTGGCTTGGCTTCTGAACAGCAGTACCAGATGAACCTCATCATCATTGAGCTCTTCTTGGAGCCCAGAGAATCAGACTTAGAGTCTGTTTTGAGGCTGCAACAAAGACAGCCATTTTTTATCTCTTTGCATTTTCTCCCTGCTTTTTTCCCAGTTCCAATTATAGGACATTGCTTTTTTAGTTCCCTATAAACTATCAAGTGAGTTGTCTGGAACAAAAGCTATCTTTTATAGCTCTTTTCAAATATCTGGAACTGATTGAGTAAATAGCTTATCTGTAAGAGTAATCTGTCCCTCTACTGAATTAGCATCTCAAGAAGAATGTTTTACCAGCTTTTTATTAAACATTTTAAGAAACTAGAGAGGTGGTTATCTTTTTCCTGGTAAACAGCTGAAATTTAATAACTGAAGGCTTGGTTTTAGTTCTTTTTAGACCTTCAAGAATACACATTAGGAAATATTTTTTATTACAATTTCCTGTCTGGCTATTAGGCCAGCAGGGGTCTGACTGCTTGGGCTCCAGTGGGAGCAGGTAGTTCCTGTTACAGCTAAACCAACATAGACTGGGTGTCTATCTTCTCATTGTTTAAAATTAACATGACATTTATCTCCAAATGAAATATCAGGTTGTAATGCTGCCTGACTTTTTTTTTTTTCTGACTTTTCATAGAAGTCAAAACTTGGTTTCAGATTGACATTACATCTTTCCAATCTAGCTCATAAATCTGAATAAATCCTCTAAAGACATCAATGTACTTATCAACGTCATCTAAAGATTTTTTAAATCTGACATCTGTTTTAGGTCACAGAGAAAAAGGCTCATAAGCTCTGGAAGTTCTAAATTTAAACTGTCTTTTTACTTCTTTAAAAGATACTATCTTTTCATAAACTCAGCTAAGGATTGGTGTAGCCTTGTATTACAGCTGTTCTAGAAGCCCACCCTTTTGAAATGCAAATAGGGAAAACCTTACTTCCAGTAATGTAAGATAAGGCTGTGATTAGGGCTATCTTATCATTAGGCTCCCAAGATCAGGAGCAGCAGCCTTAGGCCCCTGTACTGCCTGGTTTTCCTGTAGCCCACATCTACCTTTCAAAACTCGAATGATTTTCTTAAGGCAAACAAAATCTGAACATAAGACTACTGGTCAGGTGACAGGAATCTTACATTCAGAAGCATAATCATTGCATAAAAAGGTCAATTTGAAGTGAGCACTTTTTAGGCTACAAAAGTCTCTTCTAGAGATAGAAAAATTGGCAGGAGGATTTGGTCCCATGCACTGAGCGAGCCAAGTCTCCAGACACTTGTGTTTTTCACCTAATCACCTAGGTAAACAGGTTTAGCAACTGGACAAGATTTAAACTTGAATCTTGGGGCTGGAGAGATGGCTCAGTGGTCTAAAGCACCTACTTGGAACAAGCTTGGCAAAGCACAGGGACCGCGGTT